TCTCAAACCAAAGGAGTCAAAGCTACATTGTACACACATACACATGTTTTTTGAAAAACATAGGTTGTCATTCATGCTATTCAAAAAAACATTCATGAACATATTCAACATGAAAACAAATTACATGCCTAATATCTACCAGCAAACATACCCAACCTACGAATCAACAAGAGCTAGTGACAGGGACATGCAACGGAACAATTCTAGTTTTCGGATTGGATTAAACTGGATCTTAAGGGGTCATTTGGGAAAGGGACCAAAAGAGAAGAAAACACATACCTTTTTGACGTTTAAACCTTGACTTGCTGCCCAAAGAATTCCTCCAAACACACGTCAAACACCAAAAGTTAAAAACCAAACTCGACAAAAATCCTTCTCTTTTCCTACGTGATTGATTAACGTTTGTTTTTCTTTTTTTTGTTTGAGTTCTTCAAGTGTGAAGAAATTTGGTTTATTTACTGTTTTGGAGTTATTTTGGCAGAGAAAACGTGAATGAGAGTAATAGACACAAGAGAGAGAGAGAGAGATATATGAGCATGGGAGAGAAGAGTTTTCTTAGGCTTAGGAGTCTAGTCTACGACTTAGTTAAATAATGTTTTATTTGATTATGAAAAATCTGATTTCCTGTTATTTTAAATCGGCTAATAACTAATAAATATAAATCAATTAAATTAATTTACCAACTTTACTTGAGAAAAATTTAGCTCATTGCTTCCACCGAGGTTCGAACCCGGGTGGAGCAAGACTTCACTTCAAGAGCCCAATTTCGGTCCTCTCTCCCCAAAATGCCCTCAACATTATTAATTATATAATTAGTTATATCTTTAGGGTAAGTGTGATACTACTCATAGCCTGTAAAAAGAGCATTTTATCCCTAGACCCTCCAAACCTATGATTTTCCATTTTTAAGTTTGGTAAAGACTCATTCGAATAAATCTTCGTATTCGAGAGCCCTACATGGTTTGACCCAACCTTCCAATCTCAACTAATTCCACAAGATGGTTGGCTTGGCTGTAGCAAGGGTTCCGAGGTCTGGTTTACCACATCAATCCGTGTGAACCCTTGTCTAATCATACACATTCTTGACACAATAAGCATTTCTTACCTTATTCATTTTTAGGGTTGTGACAAAAACAAAAACAGTAAGTTTTTCTCAATTTTTGAAAGAGATTTCAAGGTATTGTTCTAGGTTTTTGTGCAAGGTGATCTTCGTAGATTCTATTCCACATATGTATGGGTTTTATCTCCTGGAATCCTTTCCCCAAAAGGCTTTTCAAATGTCCTATGAAATTAAGAATATCAAAACTAGAGTTGTTCCTAATGATATTATAGAACGTCCATCTCCCTATTAATCCTTGTTTTCGATTCTAAGAGTATGTATAATGTAATCTTGAACATGATTTTGGTATGTGGTGCTATTTGATCATCATCCGTAGGTATCTTGAGTAATCAAAGTCGAAGGAGACCTATAGATTAGATTTGTATAAATTAGAGTATTATTTACATGAGATAAGGAATATTTAATGTCTAATTGTGTTCCAGAAAGATGAATTTGTTATGAGTTGTTTATGAAGTTGGATTTACTGTTATATGTTTTTAATTTAATTGTATTTATAAGCTAATTATATGTAAAAAGTTTAGATTGCTTAGAATGAAGGTTTAGATTACCACAAGATGTGAAAGTTTGGCTTATGCCAATAATTTGGCCAATACATTGGCTAGTAATATATTCTCCAAATTGTTTAGTAGAATTGAATTACAATGTTATCTTCAAAATATGTGAAAGTTTGCTCATGAATAATTTAAACCCAATTAAGCATGACCAATGTAACTTTGAATTCATAACCATGGGTATGCCAATAAATGGGACAAGTCCCAACATATTCTTTCCAAATAAACTATGACTATAAGTAAATACATTGAACAAAGTTTGTAATGTTCATAAAGAGTGGTATAAAGCTACGAAATTTCATATAACAAGATAAGGTGTGTAATGACATAATTAAAAGTTTACGACTTATGAAAATGACTGTAACACCTTGAATGTCCAAGACTCATGGTAAAGCATAACATATGTGTCATAATGTCTAAACACTTCTTGTAAGTCAATTTTTAATGAATATAGGTCATTTAGAAGCCTTAAAAACCAAAACGTCCAAAAAAGTTTGGGATGTTGGTTCAAAGGGTTGTTAGTGTGCCTTAGCCTTTTTACTAAATTTTAGGAGTCGAAAATGTACGAAAATGGGTTGTAAGGTAGCTAATGGGTGTTTGAGTTGTTTCATGATTGAAACGTCTGTGTACGACCCACAAAGGACCAAGCAAGGGCCCTTAAGGATGATCCTTGCAGTTTGATGCAGCATTACCTGGCAGTGTGCATCAACAGGATAGACGACGGTCCGTAGGTGGGTTGACGAAGAATCAGTCCATCATCGTCCCACACAGAGAAAAATTCGTGATTGCCAAAAGGGGTTGACTAGTCTTCAGTGGCTCGACGGGGCGTCGAGGTCACCATCACCCCACATTTAGAAAAATTAGAGGAAGACCTCACCTGCAAAGTCTGTGATAGATACGATGGAGTGCAGGACAGAGGAGGGGTTGTCCGTCGACTCACTGATGGACCGTTGATCAGGGTCTCGTAGGTGAGGGTCGAGTTTAACTGATGAATTTTAAATAATTTCACTTAATTAATTAAGTGGTTTATGGGTTAGTTAGTGATTAAAGGGACACTAATTAAGTTAATTAAGCCCCTTTATAGATACCCTTAACCCTCATTAATTTAAACACAACTCTCCAAAACCATTGTAGGCTTGTAAGGACTAGGGTTTGGGGGCTGAAAAAAGGGTGGATTCTTCATCTAATTTTTTAGAAACATAAAGTTATGAGTTCTATTCACCTTTGATATCCTTTCCTCAAAGGGTTTCTTCAAAATAGATTTCAAAAGGTTGAGTTCTTTTATCTGTTTCATTCAATTACGAAGTTAAAGTTATGGATTGAGTTGTTAATAAATTCTTAGGGTTATATTGTGTAGATTAACATGTAATTAAACTTGGTTAAGGTAATTTTTGATGGTTTGGTATTAATTGAAGAATATTATCCTCTATCCTTAACCCTAGGTAGAGATGTTGACCTGTGTTGTATGGTGATCTTTTAATTGAGTTTGTTGTTGATTAGATTACTATCCTTTGGTTCTATTATGGTTACATTAATATGAATTATAGGCCTTGTTATTCTATTGGTTATCATTGTGTGATGATGTTACTCCCCAAGTTGGGTTGAGTTATGGGTTGATGGTAAGACCTTGATGATAGACTTTAAGAAATACTTGGTAAGTCTTAGAATTTGTACCTTTTCTTCTAATTGTAATTAATTGTTGTTATCTTATGATATTAAATTAGAGTAATGCCTTATACTAGGATTATAAGGTTGTATGATGTTGAATTTAAATGTCTCGACTATGTTGTGAGGTTTATTAAGGTGTATGTGATATAAGGATGGTGAAAACTATCAATGTTCCTTAATATTTTATGAAACACTAATGTGCTAACCTCACTTACATAAATTGCGATGAAAGGACTTATACTCATATCATTATTATTGAGCTATTCATGATGATGATTATACAAGGGGTAGACCCTATGGCCTAAATTAAGTTCTGTATTATAATTAAAGGCTTAAAGAAATTTCAAAAAGGGACTCTAGCTTAGCACCGATTGAAATAGAAGGAGAAGTGTCCTTTCCCACATAGGGAAGGTAGGAACACTACATTACTCTTGAGATTGGAGACTATAATGCATGGTGCATAAAAAGGGTCCCAATTAAATCTTCTAGTTCTTGAATTATGTTACCCACATAGAAATACTAGCTAGTGGATCTGGTCGTTGATGTTTTTGGAAGGCGATATTGTTGAAGGATTGGATTCTTCTTTTCAACCAAGTGGGGTAGATCCTCAACGTTTGAGGGAAATGCAATCTTCTAAATTTGGACTTTGATATGAGCTTATTGACTCTATCATTTCTTACCTTGTTATTTGAATATTGTACTGTCGTATGACCTATACATAATCTTGTTGAATTGACGTAAGGGCTATGCCCATATTGTGATATCCATTTTATGGTATGACACCAGACAATCATTGAAACTACTTCTATATATTTATATATATGTGTGCAATATTGAAGGCTAAACCTTCCTATACGAAGGGTCTAAACCTTCCTATATGAAGGGTCTATGTATACTAGATATGAATATAAATTATGTGTATGTAGAGGTCTATGTATATCTACAAATAGAGAAAATAAAAGTTTTAAATTTTCTGAATTTTTTAACCTATGAATGTGATGACATGAAACTAAGAGTCTAGTCTTAGTCCTTGAAAAAGATGACAATGTCGATTACGTCTAGGGGGTAAACCCTGATGTGACAAACTTTCTATCAGAGCATGAGGTTGAATACAATTGAGTTATGTCTCCCTCTCTACCCCATCTATGTAGGTTTCTATTCATAATTGTGAAGCGCGCCAAACTTATGAGTAGGAACCTATATGATGCTTAGGAATCACTCTCTTTCTTGGAAATCTTATATCGTGCCAATAGAGTATACTGATGGTGTGTTTTTGCATTTAATCATATTGTTGTGCTTATAGGAAGTATGAACACTCGAAGGAATACAACTCGAAGACTTGAGGAGGAATTTACTAATGTGGGAGATTCTCCCCATAATGAGCAAGTTCCTCCACATAAGGTGAATTCTAATGTTGATCAAGCCCCGGCTAACCCCCCACCTATAACGGAGGCGAGGATTAGGGCTATTATTGCTCAAATGTCTCAAGCCATGACTACTCAACTACTCGGGATGTTGATCCTTGTTTTCATCAACAAGTCACTACTATGGCTTCCCATCTAAGGGACTTCACTCGGATGAACCCTCCTATTTTCTATGGGTCTAAGGTTGATTAAGACCCCCAAGACTTCCTTGATGAGGTCTACAAGGTGCTATATGTTATGGGGGTGACTTTGAGTGAGAAGGTCGAGTTGGACTCATATCAACTCAAGGATGTGGATCAAACTTTGTATGTGCAATGGAGGGACAAAAGGCCATTGATAGTTGGTCTGGTGACTTTGGAGATCATTATTGTGGATTTTCAACATCAGTTCTTCCCTAGAGAGATGAGGGAGGAAAAGGTTAGGGATTTGATCAATCTTCGGCAACGAGGGAAGAGTGTTCATGAGTACTCTTTGGAATTCGTTAAGTTTTCCAAATATTATCCTTCTTTAGTCTCCATTCCTAGAGACCAAATGAGCCGTTTTGTGACGGGGGTGTCGGAGGATTGCCAATCGGCCATGCTACATGACAACATTACATTTCCGTCTTATGGTCTACCCAAGAAGGGTTGAGGAGGCAAGAGTTTAGAGAAAAAGTAGAGATGATAAGAGGGATATGTCATTTGATGGAGGATCCTCAATAAATAGGCTTGAGATACAAGATTAGCCTTAATTTAAGAAGCGGGGTTCAAATCAATTCCGTACAAAAGTTCCAAGATCTAGTGGTGATATGGTGTCTAACAATAAATTTAAGAAGGGAAAAGGCTCTAAATTACCAAAGAAGAAGCCAACTTATGGAAAGTTTGGTAAAAAGGCCTACTGAGAGTGCCTTAAGGGGACGGATAATTGTTTTAGTTGTGGCATGTGTGGTCACAAAATGAGAGATTGTCCAGTCATGAAGAGTCATGACAACGGTAGTGGCCAAGCTCAAACATGTGGTTCTAGTGATGCTCCAAAGAAGAACCACTTCTATGGTCTCTACTCTAGGGGTGAGCAAGAGACCTCACCCGACGGGGTAATCGGTATGTTAAAAATCTTTACTCTTGATGTACATGCTTTACTTGACCAAGGTGCTACTTTGTTCTTCGTTACACCACTAGTAGCCAAAAAATTTAATTTTTTACCCGATATTTTGCATGAGCCTTTTCTAGTGTCTACTCTGATGGGAGAGTCAGTTATTTTTAAAAGAGTCTATTGAAATTGTCCTATTTAATTTCCCAATAGAATTTCCTATGTCGATATAGTAGAACTCGATATTCTTCATTTTTATATTGTATTGGGTATGGATTGGTTGCATGCATTTTTTGCATCCATTGATTATTGAACAAGAGTGGTGAAATTAAAATTCCCCAATGAACCTGTTGTTGATTGGAAAGAGGGAAATTCTATTCCTAAAAGGTCTCATCATATCTTGTCTAAAAGCATGTAAAATGATCTAAAAGGGTTGTCTCTATCACATTGTATGTATTTAAGATTTGGATTCCGAAATTCCTCCTAATGAGTTGGTCCCCGTAGTGAATGAATTTTCAGAGGTTTTTCCTAATGACCTTCCCCGTATTCATCCTGAACGGGAAAATGATTTTGGTATCCATTTGCTACCAATAACAAATCCCATTTCAATCCCTACATATCGGATGTCTCCGCCTGAATTAAAAGAGTTGATGTCTAAACTCAAGGATTTGCTTAACAAGGGCTTTATAAGGCCTACTATATCTCCATGGGGTGCTCTGGTGTTATTTTTCAAAAAGAAGGATGGATATTTGAGATTGTTTATTGACTACCGTCAACTCGACCAGGTTACTAGTAATAATAAGTACCCTCTCCCTCGGATTGATGACTATCTTGACCAACTCCAGGGGGAGTTACTTTTCAAAGATATACTTGAGGTCGGGGTATCATCAACTTAGAGTGAGAGGGGAGGATGTACCGAAGACGACTTTTCAGACTAGGTATGGGCACTATGTGTCCTTTGTAATGCATTTCGGTCTCACTAATGCTCCGGTGGCATTTAAGTACCGAATTAATAAAGTATTTCAAAAGTACCTAGATTCGTTTGTCGTTGTTTACATTGACGATATCTTTCTAAACTCGAAGAATAAGGATGATCATACGGGTCATTTAAAGTAGTTTTGCAAACCCTTGAAGAACATCAATTTTATGCCAAATATAGTCATTGTGAGTTTTGGTTGAGTTCGATTACATTTTTTGGGCACATCATTTCCAGTGAGGGAGTTGAGTAGATCCAAAGAAGACAGAAGCGGTGAAAAATTAGCCTTAACCATTGACACCGACTGACATCAGGAGTTTCTTTGATTTTGCAGGTTACTATCAGATGCTCATGGATGGTTTCGTGTCCATTGCGTCTTCTTTGACTACTTTGTCCCAAAAGAGTAAAAAGTTTGAATGGTCGGAGGAATGTGAGAAGAGCTTCAAATTGTTGACCGATATGCTTACTTCCGCTCCGGTGTTGACCTTACCGGAGGGTAGAAACGGTTTTGTGGTGTATTGTGATGCATCCCGAGTGGGTTTGGGATGTGTGCTTATGCAAAACAAGAATGTTATAGCTTATTCTTCTAGGTAACTAAAGGTAGATATGAGGAATTACCCCACTCATGGCCTTGAATTAGAGGTCGTGGTGTTTGCTTTGAATATTTGGAGGCATTATCTATATGGGGTTCAAGTGGATGTTTTTACATATCATAAGAGTCTCCAATATGTGTTTACCCAAAAGATGTTAAACCAATTTGGAGGCATTATCTGTATGGGGTTCAAGTGGATGTTTTTACATATCATAAGAGTCTCCAATATGTGTTTACCCAAAAACGGTTAAACCTCTGACAAAGAAGGTGGGTTAATTTGTTGAAGGGTTATTATATAAGTGTCCTTTATCACCCCGACAAGGCTAATGCAGTTAAGGATGACCTAAGTTGGATGACTATGTGTAGTATATCCCATCTAGATGAATCCAAAAAGGACCTAGCAACGGAATTACAAAGGTTGGCTAGATTGGCGTGAGGTTGGAGGTGCTCCGGATGGAGGTGCCATAGTTCATCATAACTCCGTGTCATCTTTAGTGGTTGAGGTTAACTCCAAGCAACACCTTGATTTAGCCTTGATGGAGTTGAAATAATCTGTTCTTGGCAAGTTGAATGAATTATTATTCCTAGGGGGGATGGGGTGCTATGGTACAAAGGGAGATTATGTGTTCCCGATGTAGATAGGTTTAAGGATCAGATCATAGAAAAAGCACATGGGTCCCATTATTCAATTCATCAGGGGTCTACAAAAATGTACAATGACCTAAGGGAAATATAATGGTGGGAAGGTCTAAAATGGGACAGCGAAATTTGTTGTTTAGTAAATTGTCAACAAGTAAAGGCCGGACATCTAAAGTTGGGTGGCTCACTACAAGAGATGAAAATTCCAACTCGTAAATGGGAAGACATAAATATGGACTTTTTAATAGGTTTACCCCGGACCCAAAAGTCCTATGATTCCATATGGGTGGTTGTGGATGGATTGACTAAATCTGATTACTTTCTCCCCGTCAAGTCTTCATATTTGGTAAAAGATTATGCAAGAATATTCCTAGATGAGATTGTGTGACACCATGGCATTCCGTTATACATCATATCATATCGGGGTGCACAATTCATATTTATATATCGGAGGTCGTTCCGAAAAGAGTAAGGCACTACAGTGAAGTTAAGCACTACTTTTCATCCTCAAACGGATGGTCAAGCGAAGCGTACGATACAAACCCTTGAAAATATGCTAAGAATCATGCATTATTGATTTTAAAGGGAGTTGGGATAGCCATTTACCTTTAGTGGAGTTTGCCTACAACAACAGTTTTCATTCTTCAATTTCCATCGCTACGTATTAAGCCTTCAATGGTAGGAGATGTAGGTCTCCTATTGGATTGTTTTAAGTGGTTGAGCCATATCTTCTTTGTCTTGAGTTTATTTATATGACTTTGGAAAATGTTCATATCATAATGAACCCGTTGCAAACGGCCTATAGTCGGAAAAGGTCTTATGCCGATAATAGGAGAAGGGATTTGGAGTTCGAAGAAGGTTATAAAGTGTATTTACAAATTTCATTAATGAAAGGGGTGGATAGGTTTGGCAAGAAAGGGAAATTGTGTCCTTGTTTTGTGGGTCCCTATAAAATCTTGCAAAGGGTTGGTAAGGTTGCCTATGAATTGAAACTTCCTAGTGAACTAACTTCGGTTCATCCTGTTTTCCATGTTTTTATTTTGAAAAAGTGTATCGGTGGCCCCGATTCCATTCTTACTATTGAGGGTCTTGGTGTCAAGGATAACCTCTCTTATGAGAAAGTCCCAGTTCGAATTAATTATATGCAAGTCAAGAATTTGAGAAATAAAAATGTGGTATCCGTTAAAGTGTTATGGAAAAATCAATTAGTTGACGATGCTACATGGGAGGCAGAGGCTGATATGAAGTCCTGTTATCCTCTTCTTTTTGAGAATTAAGGTTACCATTCTCTTTAATTATATAAATATGACTAAGATTTGTGGTTTCTTGATTTTTGGGTGAAGTGTTACAAAAATGGCATTTTTGAAAACCTCACAACAAGTTTTATAGTGAAGTCACTGTAGTATTGCTATTAAAAACATGAAATTTTTCTTTTTCCTTGCCTTGAGTTATGTTGTGAATTTTTATATGCCGAGTCTTCATGAAATGATAGGTAGCATGTTTTTAAGTTTAACTTTGTGCCAATTGACTCATGTGATGTATGTTGAGCTCATAAGTGTTGTGAGAAGGAAATGCCGCATGACGAAGTGTTTTGAGTCGTAGGTGTGGTAATATATGTTTTGATATTTGCCCGGTTGAAGTGACATGATTTATGTTGAATGGATATTGTTGATTGGTTGGGGTGCTAGTCTTGGGTCTATTCCTTCCTTCAAAAGAATTTTAGTATCATTCGGGGACAAATGTTCCTAAGGGGGATAATGTAAAACCTTCAAAATCCAAGACTCATGGTAAAACCTAACATAAGTTCATAATGTCTAAACACTGTTTCTAAGTCCATTTTTTATAAATATAGATTATTTAGAAAGTTTAAGAAACAAAACGTTCAAAAATGTATGGAAAGTTGGTTCAAAGGGATATAAATGTGCCTTAGCCTTTTTACTAAATTTTGAGGAGTCGGAAATGTACGAAAATAGGTGGAAAGGTAGCTAATGGGTGTTTGAGTTGTTTCATGATTTAAACGTCTGGGTACGACTCTCCAAGGACCAGCTAAGGTCCCTTGAGGAGAATCCATGCAGTTCCATGCAGCACAGCCTGGCACTGTGTATCTACGGGAAAGACGACGGTCCGTACGTGGCTCAACGGGGTATAGAGGCCACCATCGTCCCACACTTAGAAAATTCGTGAGGGCCCTTGTTTACCTAGCTACTGTTTCACATGACGGAAGGGGTTTACAAAGCGTCAATGGCTCGACGGGACGTCGAGGCCACCGTCACCGCACACTTAGAGAATTTGGAGTAATCCCTCGCCTGCAAAGTCTCTGTCAGAGATGATTGAGTGCAAGACAAAGGGGGATTT